CAAAGGATGTGCTAAGACCAGATTTATGTATTAAGAAGTTCTGCTCCTAGGTGGAGAATAAGCTGAATGAATGAGGGTGAAGCAGAAAAGGCAAACTGAAAAAGTGGGAGTTGAATCTGTTGCACCAAATCTAGAAAGACTTCCACTTAGTTAAGATGTTACTGTATTCTGCAAACTGGTATAACTTTCAAAATACAAACAACTTTTACAAATGCAGTTCAGTAATTTGACATATATGGAGGTGTATTAGGAGCTGAGAATACCCAGGAGCTTACAGCTCGTGGGGATACAATTACAGTACAGTGAAATAAAAGCCATAACGGGAGATGCGTACTACAAGGCACATTCCTAAAGCAAGTAGGGCTCTTCCAAAATTCAGTTTCTGTGCATTACCTGTAATCCACAAAGAATTCATTTCACAGCTAATTTACTAAGTACCTACTATGTGTCATATAGCAAACAATGAGTGAAATGAGTTTGATGTGCCCCCATTTTCCTTTATTGAACTAAAAACATGGCAGAAAGCATAAAAAGGCATTTTCTTATTAGCTTCTGCATCTTTAGCAACGAAGAAAGTAAACCATAAACCATTTGTGTTGGAAATATATTCCAAAAGATAACAGATTAAAATGACAAGGAAATAGATGAACAAAGTGCCATGAAAACACGAGCAAACCCAGATATGGGGATACAAGAATTCTGGAGTCTTTTCAACAAGGTAATGCAATGGCCAAGAGTAAGATTTTACTGAATTAAAAAAAGAGATTTTTAAAACTACAGGCAACAGGAGGGCATGGTGGCGCACGCCTGTGATCCCAGCACTTGAGAGGCTGAAGCAAGATTGTACCAGCCTGGAACTATATAGCAAGACCTTGTCTCAAAACAAAACAACGCGCTAGGGATTTAGCTCAGTGGTTCCACCGCCTGCCTCCCAAGTGCACGGTCCCGAGTTCGATCCCCGGTACCAAAAAAAAAAAAAGTCAAAACAAAAACCTATATGCAACAATGGGCCTAAGACTGGATCCTAGTTTGTGCAAATCAACTGTAAAAGACATGTGCAAAACAACTGGTAGGAAAAGGGATCTGAATATGAACTAGTTAGATCATGTTAGTAATGCTCCCATTCTTAGTTGTGTGCTAATAATAACTATGATTATGTAGAGGTGCATTATGGTTTGAAACTAGGGGCGACAAGTTATGACACTCATCATGTAAACGTTTAAAAGTGATGTTACCATCGCTGGAGTGCAGTTCAACGACAGGACGTGTGCTTTGCATACGTGAGGTCCTGGGTTCAATGCTCAGTGGCAACAAGTAAAGCAAAAAAGTGACCGTTGTGTAGATAGGGCGTGGCCTTCAGCAGGGGGCGAGGCCGCTCTCGGACGCCTCTCCTTTGTCTTCTAACCCACTCAACACGCCAGGTTCCATCCTCCCGAGGTTTTCCCACTCCAGCGGGGTAGGCGCGGTGTTCTCTGGGCCCTCGGAGCCTCAGTATGTCCTGGCGAGAGGGAGAGGGTGGTGGGTCCACCGGCACAAACTCCAAGGCCAGGACGCAGAATCCCCATGGAGCCCACTGGTCCGTCAGCGGCCAGGAGTGACCCAGAGGTAGAGCGCCAGAGACCGGAAGCCGGAAGCCGCGCGGCCGGAAGCGCGTTGCCTGACATATGCCCGCGCCACCAATACCATCTCTCTTCCCTTTCCAGGAGGTTCCTCTCTAGGAATCGCGGAGGTCCCTGCTTCTCCGTGACCATATTACTGCAAACCCCAGCCAGTGGTCTCAGACTAGAAAGTTTGTTGCCATGATTTGGATCTTAAATGTCCCCCAAACACCCATGAGTTAAACACCATGGGAGATGGTGGAACCCATAAAAGGTGAAGAACCCATAAAATGGGAAGAAGTTTTGAGGCTATGCCCTTGAGGGGGATACTGCCCTTCCTCCTGAGGTGATCGGGCTCCCTCATCAGGCGCTCCCTCCAAGATGTACTGCCTCCACCACAGCCAGTGGAACCAACAATCTTGGAGTGAAACCTGCAAGGCTGTGAGCAAAACAAACCTTTCCTCTTTTTGATTACCTCAAGTATTTTGTTACAGTAAAGGGAAGCTCATTAACACACAGTTGTGGAGGCCAGGATCAAATCACCAGCAAATTCTGGGTTTGGTGAGGGCTGCTCTTTGCTTCAGTTTTGGTGTCCCTTTGATACAGAGCATCTGATCTATAGACCTCCAAATAATATAAGGAAATATTACAACTCTCAACCTGCTAAATGTCCAAAATTCTCTAAAATCAAAGAATGAATTCTGGGAACAACAGAGCTTAAGAGTAGGAAGAATTTATTGAGAGAAAACTTCTTTCTAAGGGAGGCAGAAGGGAGTCCCGAAAGTGGTTGACTGCCGACCCCACTTCTCAAGGGTGTTTTATTGAGCAAAGCCAAGAAGTGAGGCAGGTTCAAGGTGGGACAAAATAACAGTCAAATAATAAGATTAAAAGTGTAATCACTTTGGTAATGTTGATTCAATGGGAAATCACAAGGTGGGTGTGAGATGGGAGGAAACTATGGTCAGCCAATAAGATTACAAGAAGTATAGTCACTTAAGTAATACTGATTAAATGGGGATTAAATGGGGAAACAAGTCACAAGTAGCAAGTGTACATGAAATTAACAAGAATTTTCCTGGAAGAAATGAGCTAGGGAGGTTTTGGTTCCCACCCAAGGTGATTGATGGCTATTTAGAATATTAATCACTGCTATTCATCCTTAGGGGACGTATGTGGGTGTAGTAGCTCCTCTTTTTCTTCTTGTTTTTTGTTGTTATTTGAGACAAGGTCTTGTTGTGCAGTTCAGGCTGTCCTTGAACTCATTATGTAGCTGAGGTTGGCCTCCTAGAACTCACAGTGATCCTCCTGCCTCAGCCTCCAGTTTGCTGGGATTACATACATATACCACCACACCCAGCTAGTTTCTCTTTTTCTTGAATCCTGGCCTTCAGTGAATGTGCCTCCAGCCAGTTTTCCTCTGTGCTGAGGGCCCAGCTCTGCTTACAATATTTTCTAACTTAGCTGTCTACAATACTTTCTCTCATAGAGGAAGAGGGAAACAGATACCCTCAAGCCTCTTTTAGAAGACCATCAATTGCATTCATGAGGCTGGAGCCCTCATGGTCTAATCACCTCTCAAATGCCCCCCACCCATGACATCACCGTGGGAGTAAGGTTTTCACACAGGAATGTTGAGGAGGTGCAAATATAACTGGTGAGTTAGCCTCTCCCCGAAGTGGGCACAGTTTAGAACTAAGAGAAAATGCCTTGTCTTGTGACTCCTCCCTGTTGGGAAAGAAAATCTTGGACTTCTTTGCGAAGGGAGAAATGGCACCACAATAATAGCAGAGAGTTTCAATAATCCACACAATAATAGATTGTTCATCCAGACAGAAGACCAAAAGATTCTTGGGTGAAACCATTATTTTAACTATTTAATATTTAAAGATGGCGTTTCACTGTCTGCTGAATTCCACTCTTTTGGTGAGAACACAGTTGTAATTCCTATCATTATTCCCCTACATGTATGTAAATAAAGGACATCTTTTCTCTAGTTGCTTTCAAGATTTGTTTTTTAATATATAGCGTGTGCAGTTTGACCATGATATGTGTGTTATTTATGTATGTTTATTCATCTTACAATTTACTGAACTTCTTTGGGTTGGATGTTTATGTTTTTTCACCAGCTTTGGGAAATTTTGACCTAGTGTTTCTTCAAAAATTTTGCCATCATTCTCTTTCTCCTTTTCCTATGGGCCTCCAATTAGATGATTATTAGACTATTTTACATTGCTCTAATATCACTGATCACTAAAATTCTTTTTCTTCAGGCCCAAATGCAGTTTCAATGACCTACTTATCTGTATTATACCAATATCACATTGTCATAACTACTATGTATTTACTTTTTTGGAACCAGGGATTGAACTCAAGTCTACCTGCATGCTGGGCAAGCACTCTACCACCAAGTTACATCCCTAACCTACTATACATTTATCATATAGGGCAAATTTCTGCACTTCCTTCATTTGATCAAAAACATCTTGGGTCTTCCCATTTTCATATTCCATATAAATTTAGCATAGACCAATTAAGTTCCATAGAGCACATCATTGGGATTTTAATTAGCTTTGCAATGAATTTAACGTCAAGGGCTTAGCTTTAAATAAATAACGCTTTATAATCTTTTTTTTTTTTTTTTGGTACTGGGGATTGAACTCGGGATCTTGCGCTTGTGAGGCAGGCGCTGGAACCACTGAGCTAAATCCCCGGCCCCTATAATCTTTTCATTAAGGTAGCTTTTGTATTTCTTTGCTCCTGTAATTATCTTTTTTTTTTAAATTGTTTTTTTTTTTTGAGATAGGGCCTCACTGTGTAACCCAGCTGGCCTCGAACTCACAGAGATCCTCCTTCCCCAGCCTCCCTCCGGAGTGCTGGGATCAGAGGCATGCCTCACCTCGCCCAGCTAGAAAGTACATTTTCTAACTCGGAAACGCAGTATGAATCTTTCTTTTTTTTTTTTTTTAAACTCAGCAAGGTTGCTGGATTATAATTTGGGTAGTAGATTTGTCTTGCATTTTCTGGGTATGCCATCAGCATTCTCTTTAGGTTATGCATTTAAAATTGTTTTAATTAAGTTACGCAATCAGCTCTAAAAGTAAAAACATTAAAAAGCTTTGTGGTAACACTTCCCCTGACCCCTAGTGGGGTTTTTTCCCCTAACCTCTAGTTTTAACCACATATCTCACAAGTAATCGCTATTATTAATTTTCATATGTATTTTCCCAGGGTTTTTGTACTTACACAAGCAAATAAAATTTAAGTTCTTTTTACTCTCTTTTAGTAGCAAAATACACAGTTCCGCACTTAGCGTTTCTCCTTAACTAGCCCTGGAAAACTGTTTTGACACGGGGGTGGAGGGCGGGACCAGTGAGCGGCGCGGCTAGAGCGGCCGGAAGCGGCTTTGTGTCCGCGCGGGGGCCGTCGGTCCGGGACGACTGTTGAGTCCGGGGTCGAAGGCGCCGGCTGGCCCCCGTCTGTCGGAGACAGGACTGGCCTTGTGTGCATCGGAGGCCGAGGCAGGTGGTGCTCAGGTCCCCGAGAAGGAGCGAGAGTCAGCTTGACTGTCCTGGTCCCCTCAGTCGGGGTCCCTCGGGCGCGCGGTCCCGGAGGCAACCTTGACAGTGGGAGCCACTGCATTTGCTTCTCCGGGACACACGGTCAGTTCCAGCCCTTCATCTGCGGTACTGGACACGAACCAGACTTTGAAATCTGGTCGCTTGGTTGGCATATGGCCCGTAGCAGTTACTGCCCGTGTGAGTTTTTGGCCAGTCCTTTAATCTCTGTGCCTTATTTTTTTTCCCGTACCGGGGATCGAACTCAGGAGCTTGTGCTTGCCAGGAAGGCGCGAGGCCACTGAGCTAAATCCCCGACCCTGTGCCTTATTTTATTGCTTTGTAAATGGGGAGTAGGCTATCACCTCATTCGCTGTGTTGTAAAGATTAAATAAGTTGATATGTGTAAGGCACTTAAAATAGTACCAGACACAGAGCACAATTTAATGATTTTCTGTTATTAACTGTGACAGCACATTATTTTCAGTAAGTAATCTTAGTGACTGTCTTTTGTTGCAGTGTTATTCATCAGTGGTCTCTATAACGGTTTCCGTATTTTAGGAGGGAAAAATAAGATACCCTGAAGAAGAGCCTGACCCAAAGCAAAGACTCAAACTGGTTATGTGGAGATGCTGAATCTCCCAAAGGCTTTAAAACTTGGGGATACCTTTCCTTTGGCTGGAGACTCAGGACGAGCAGAGAGGTTTGTAACGGTGAAAAGGACTTATAACAGAACACGGGCTACTCTTAATTAAAATTGAGGAAGGCCAGGGAACTATACTCTTAGCTGGTATTAATGCAGTACCTTCTACATGCTAGGTAGTGTTCTAATAACGTTATACTTAAATTTACTTGAGTGCTCACAACACCCTTATTTACTGTCACCATCTCTTTTAGATGAGGAAGTGAGGGTAGAGATCTGCAAGTTACCAAGCTCTTCCTGCTATTAGGTAGCCAAGCCAGAATTATAAGCCCAGGAAGCCAGGCTTCAGTGTCTGTGTACCTAACCAGACTATGATGGGGCATTGCAAAAAAACCAAACCAAACTGAAGGAAAGCACAAGAGAAGACCTGTGAGATTCTGAAACGGGCACCAACATCAGTCTGGCGCCTGAGAAGGAGCCATGGAAATAGTAACGAGGGAGCTTCTCTAGTTACTTCTGCAGGAGCAGTCTTGGTGCCTTGTTCATGGTTTACTGCCTACAGTGTGTTGAAGGTTGAACCAGAGGTGAAAACTGGAGTCCTGTCAGAAGGGCTTTCTCTGAAGGAGGCCGGTCTTGAAGAAGAGGGAAGAGTAGCAGGTGGTTAGCGGGCAGGGTGTAGGTAAGGACCAGAAGCAGCTGCTGCACTCTTCCGGGTCAGCACTTGGTGGTATGTTCTGATTTTTTATTTTTCTGAGAGAAACTAAACCCTTTCCAGCCCAAGTAGGGAACCCCTGCTTCCAGTTAGTTGAATTTGTCACTTCAGGCAATTGTTTGTATAAGCCTCACGTGAGTGCATCTAGTATTTAAAAACTTAGTCCTTTTCTTTTGGTACAGGACCTACCATGTTTTCTAGACATCCTAAATGTGGTGTCTTGCTCACAGGGGAGACTTACTGTTTGTGTCCTATTGCTGCCTGACAATTTGCCAGCCATTTACAGCTTGAACAAGACCTACTCATTATTCCAGTTCTGAAGGCCAGAAGCCAGGAAGGCTCAGCTGAGCTGTTTGGGGTTTTCTGGTTGAGGTCAAGCTGCTGGTAGCGCTGAGCTGTCATCTGCAGGCTGTGGGATGGAGCTGCACTGAGCTCGGTGGTGGAATTAAGGTCCCTGTGATCAGGCTGCTTAGCCTGACAAGATACCAAGTCATATTCAAAGTCCTAGGGATGAGGGCAGCAAATCTTTGGGGTCCTGTCTGAATGCACCCAGAGACCACAGAGCTAAAGGATCACTCAGAGCCATCTGTGGAGGGGGGCTTCCTAGAAAGGCCAGGAAATAGCCTGGGTCTTCCAGTCTCACCGACTCAAGTGAGTTAGGGGCGAAGGGCTGCCTAGACTCACACCCTGGGACTATGTGGAGGGAACGTATTGGTGAAGTTCAGGTTTGTGGCTGTGCAGAAAATGATGCCACAGAGGCACTTGAACATGGAGAAGAAATCTGCGCAGCTGCTCCCTGTTAAGTCCTCCGGCTCCTGGGCTGCACAGGAGGAGCAGTTGACAAGCTTAGTGACTGACAGTGATTTTCACCTTTCTGGCCTCTCGTGCAGAAACACCACTCTCACCTCAGTGAGGCTGGCAGCAAACGATGGCTAGGGAACCGAGTGAAGCCACAGCTCTGGATGCCCGTTCTGCAGAGGACCAAATGGGACTTCTGGTTGTGAAGGTGGAGGAGGAAGAGGCCTCTGCCGGGGTGGAGGAGAACAATGTGCCAGGCCCAGAGTGTGCCCGCTTGTGTTTCTGCGCCTTCCGCTACCCTGAGGCTGCTGGCCCTCAAGAGGCCCTGGGCCGGCTCCGAGAGCTCTGCCATCAGTGGCTGCAGCCAAAGACCCACAGCAAGGAGCAGATCCTGGAGCTGCTGGTGCTGGAGCAGTTCCTGGCCGTCCTGCCTGAGGAGCTGCAGGCCTGGCTGCGCACACAGCACCCAGGGAGTGGGGAAGAAGCTGCAGCACTGCTAGAGTTTTTGGAGGAACAGCTGGAGGAGTTGCCACTGCAGGTAGAAAAAACAGGTTTAGTATCTGACAGCTGTGGTTTGTGCCTTCCTGAGACTTCATGGTTGGAGTGAAAGCATTCCTCTATGGACCATGAACCTTTTTGTTGTTTTTTTGGTACCCGCGATCGAACTCGGGACCTTGCACTTTCAAGGGAGGCGGCGGAACCACTGAGCTAAATCCCAGGCCCTACCATGAACCTCTTTGGAAGTGAGGCAGAGTAGTCTGGATCCATTCTCAGAATGCTGTTTTTACACACATAAAGGAAAATATGAAGGATTGCAAAAACGTAATCCTATTAAACTTCAGTTAGGAAGGTATTAAACAACTTTGTGATAAAGCTAGATAAGTGCTTTTTTATTGATGCACTGAATAATAATACTGAATAACAAGACCTAAAGATAAGACTAATAACTGGTCATTTCAAAGTGCTGATAAAGGTGAATGATTCTGGAGATACTGTCCAGTTTTAAAGTGCTGTGGAAATGTATGCAGTTTCTCTTGGTGAGAAAGTCCTGGGACTGCTTATGCTACTTTGGTTTGTTGCTTCCATTCATAATTGAAGGAAAGCTACATTTTTCTTAGATGAAAATAAGACTGGTTATTTTCCTAAATCTGTGAACCACTGGTTTTGAACCTCTGGTAAAAAATGGGCTGGATTTCCCTCCATCTTTTCTGATTTATGAGTCTGGTCCCTCTTTGTGTCATGCAATGTCCTAGTGCAACTTCCCTCAGTGACACAGGGCCAGGCCTCCAAATAAGTGACCAGGACACCAGGGTTCTCCACTTGAATCGATTGCACTGAGTTCTGTAACAATGAAGTCATTTTGAATCTCTTCACTTTGTTCTTTATAAAGAATGAGGGACGTTCTGAGCTGCACTTGGGAAAGTAGCTTGAAAAGTATAATTTAATCATGTCTGTAGACAGAAACCTGAATGTGTTAAGGACATCCCATATGCCAGGCCCTCTGTTCGGGATCTCACATACTGTGATCCTAGTTTCCCCAAGCACTGTAAGTTATCCTCACTTTTCAGATAAGGAAAATATTAGTATTTTTTAAGAATTTCCTGCCACTTTCCAAAAGGTTTTCATAAAAGCACAAATGTGTACAGAGAGGGAACACAGTGGTGTAGAGCGTGGACTCCAGAGTCATCCTGCTGAGCTGCCAAGCTGGCATTGTCACTTGTTAGCTGAGAGACTGAGTCAACTGCTTAAACTCAGCCTGTTTCCCAAACATCAAACCCAGATAATAACATCACACAGCACTGTCTGCATTGAATTAGTTAATATACCTAAACTCTTATGAACAGTGCCTGGGAACAGAAAGTGCTTACACATAGCTTGGTGGATAAATAAAAGTAAATGAATGTCTTCTAGGACCCAGATGATGAGGGACAAGCACTTCTGTGTTGCAAGGTGGGACTGGTGACAGCGGCCCAGTGGTCTCAGAGCAGCCAAATCCAGGCAGGGAAGCCTCTGCTCAAGCATGAATCTCGATGCTCGTGGCCCTCACAAGAAACAGGTGAATATTCTCTCCTGGCCGGTCTGAGTTCTACAGGCCTCACCCAATTTTACCGAAGGGTGGTCTGGAAGATCTGCTGATGTTACTTTATGTGCCTATCACTGATCAACTCTACTTTGAGACTGAGACTAAAAGAGAAATTGGTAACACAGTGGTGAAGTGCCTTCCTGACCAAGCTTAGCCACAGTAAGTAAGATGTCACCAGGACTTGGATTTGGAAGGATTTGGTTCTCCATTCTTTCGACGTGAAATTGTGGAGCCTCCCTCATGATAGCCAGTGTGGTTGGCACTGAGGATGGAGCCTCCATGGAGCTTCCACTCTGTGCAGAAGATGCCAGAGGGACACATTAGTAACAGTTTTAGATAGCAGTGACTCCTAAGAAGAAAACACAATTTATAATGTCAGCCACAATATCGAACAGTTGTAGGATGACTGCAATTTAAATGACACAAATCTGCTAACCTTAGGTCTGTTATTATAATAGCATGATACTCACTTGGTAGGAAAGGACTGTCACTGGCTGACCTCTCCTGTGCCCCAAACACGTGTGTAAGTCCTTGAGACCCATGGCATTGGGACACCCAGCCAACATGCAGTCTTCATTTTTCAGCAGAGGTTCTAGCCTGTGTCTAGCCTGTGTTTGCCTCCTATAAAGAGGCCTACAGTTCATTTTGACTTTTCTCTCTTGAATCTCTCTCAAGTCTACGCAAACAGACTCCCATTCCTGCCTTTCTGGGTCCAGCACTGACTGACTTCTTTTAATTTTTTCAAAACCAAGGCAGAATGTCCCCTCACAGCTCCTAAAGACACACTGAGCAAAAATCCTCCTCTCCCCTAGGAACATTCACAGGAGCTTCTAATGACAAAGTTTTTTGTTTTAATTCATTTTACCATTCCACACAAGTATGCTTCTTTCTTCATAGTTTTTACATCTTTGCAGAACACAACAGATGTCTTCGGGCTCAGGGATTGGAGCCAGTGGGATTGGGCACATTAGGAGCACTCTGTACAAACTTGTGTGGCAAAATTGATCGAGTTTTTGAACTCAGATTCCCTAAGGCAGGGAGGCTGATGCCAGGGGAGATCTCATCTGGGACTTTTTTCCTACTAGTTGCCTGGGGAGGCAGCTGCAGAGAAGATGCAGTGGCAGCTGACAGGCTTCCCCCAGAGTCCCAGGTAGGCTGTGTCTCCTCCCTTCCTCAGTGCCCTTACTACTGTACTGTTTCCTGCGAAGCTACTGCCCTGCCCACCCTACCTCTGTCCCCATCCTGGATCCTCAACCCCAATCCTGAGGGACGTGAATTTTCTCTTTTAAATCAAAGTTGCTTATCACCAGCTTCATGGCAGTATACTTATGTGGTTGGTCCAGTTTTAAGACTGGCTTGCAGAATTGTCTGTGTTTCCCAGATGCTACTCACTCCGTCTCTTTGGTCATCTTCTGTTGCTTTAGAGGTTGCTGAAAATGGAAGACATGGCCCTGACTCTCTCCCCTGGGAGGACACAGCTAGGGCCTTCTCAGGTGAACCTTTGCAGAAATGAAAGGCAGCAGAGCTGTGGCCAGCCTGGCTCCCTGGGTAAGACTGAGGGGCACTGGTTCTCCTGAGGGGTCTCAGCATGCTTTGCAGTGAGGACCTCCTGGCCCTGGTAGCCTGTCAGTACTGTTGGTGCCCATTGCGTATGGATTCAGAACCACCATTTTTGAAACTACCAGGTTCTTAAGTCTCTGATCTTGTTTTCTCATGTGCCTTCCCATGTTCTAGTCAGAGTGGGATGAAGCAGCTAAGAAGCCTAGCACAGATCTGGCTCAGAGAAGATGCACAACAAATGTTAATTTCTGGGCTGGGGCTGGGGCACAGTATTAGAGTGCTTGCCTAGCATATATTTCTGCCCCTTCCCTTCCTGTCCCAATAGGTGTTCTCTTTGGAGACCCTACATCTCCCTAGGTACAGTTCAAGATAATCCCTTATCTTTGGTCACTGGCCAAGTTCTGCCTTTCTACCCTGATGTTTCTTATGTAACACTTCAGAAACCCTTCCACTTGCCCCGTTTACTGCCACCTTCTGCTCAGTCCTTTCAGTATCTAAGCTCAGTGCATGGCCCTGCCCTACTGTTCTCAGTGCTTAGCAGCCCCTCCCCAAACCAGCACCATTGTGTCCTCAGCACAGTCCCTGGCCTCGTCCCCCCACTCCCTCCGTTCCCAGCTGTACCTTCTCCCAGTGGCCCTGTCCCATTCTCAGGTCTCTTCCGCTCAGCACCCCGTGGCCTCCTTTATTCTCATTCTCATTCCTGCACTTCAGTCCTCCCTGGCATGCAGAGACCCCTGCAATTCTTGTCTCCCTGGTGCTCATCAGAGCTTTCCTCCCACATAGGGCATAATCCACCCTCGTTGACCTTTGTTGTTTCAGGTGGTGAAATGCAGGCTAAGATCAGGGGCTTGTCTCCAGCTGAGGAGCATCCAGGACAAGATCCTGGGCGGACTCCCTGCCACCTGGGTGAGGACACTGCCCAGGATCCTGCTTGTGCTGAAGCTGGCAAACAGGAAGACAGGTTACAAAGAAAGCAGAAAAATGCTCCAGCGAGCAGGCGGCATGTTTGCTATGAATGTGGAAAGAGTTTTGCTCAAAGTTCAGGTCTGACCAAGCACAGGAGGATCCACACCGGAGAGAAACCCTACGACTGTGAAGACTGTGGGAAGACCTTCATCGGGAGCTCTGCCCTGGTCATTCACCAGAGTCCACACAGGAGAGAAGCCATATGAGTGTGAAGAGTGTGGGAAGGCCTTTAGTCACAGCTCAGACCTTATCAAACACCAGAGAACACACACGGGAGAGAAGCCCTACGAGTGTGAGGACTGTGGGAAAACCTTCAGCCAGAGCTGCAGCCTCCTTGAACATCACAGAATTCACACTGGGGAGAAGCCATACCAGTGCACCATGTGTGGCAAAGCCTTTAGGCGGAGTTCACATCTCCAGAGACACCAGAGGATCCATCGTGACAGAAATGAACAGGAGCTTTGGCTTGGAGAGGCCTCAGAAGGTCAGGCTAGAATGGAAAGTCAATGGGAAAATGTCGAAACTCCTGTGTCTTATAAATGTAATGAGTGTGAAAGAAGTTTCACTCAGAAAATAGGACTTATTGAACATCAAAAAATCCACACTGGTGACAAATCCTATCAGTGTGATGCATGTGGAAAAGGCTTCACACGAACTTCATACTTCACTCAACATCAGAGGAGTCATGTAGGCAAAAAAAAACTTCTGTCACAGTGACTCATTGTATGCATAGCAAAGTTGGTGCTCATTTGTCTTTAAACTGAAGCTCCCTGGAGCCTTGCTGCCTACAGAATTTGTTGGGGTTTTTTTGCTGAAATACTTTTATGGGTACATTTTAGGTATATAATACATTTACAATTATCATTGGGTGCTTGTACCTGTACATGATGTAGCTTGGTTCTTATTTTTTCCCCATTAACTGTGCACCCTTCACCCCTCCACCCTTCCCTATTTACATACTTCGTTTCCATTTTTTTTTCCTTTTCTCATAATTTTTCCTTTCCATTCTTTCCTTTCCCCATCTTCTCCCACCACCCCTACCCCTTTGGACCTTTTCCTATTTCAAAGTATCAATTAT